GAAGAAGCTATGAAGACATGTCATCCTAGCAGCAACTTACCCGAGAAAATATAAGGGAAGAATAATGGAAGGCTTCTCATTGTATATACACACAAAAAGCTAATGATGTTATGTACAAGGCAGTGCAAAACTGCAAATATAATTTTTGAAATGTTGGATGAGACTTGATCGTGGCCTTTGAAAAGGCACTTTCTTTCTATTTCTTCTTTTTAGTTATTCTTGATATAATGTTATGCCCCCCCCAAAAAAAAAAGGAAAATCATGAGGAATACAATCAATACAAAGATTACCTTAAACATCGGCCACCGGTTGGATGAGATACTGTTGAGGTTGAGTTCTCATTTGCCAGTATGTCATCCATGTTCTCATCAATCCTGTCAGGTTGAGTTCAAACAGAATGTTAGATATTATTAACATATCCTTGACCACAGATTATGAATCACAGATTCCATTCTATATTTTAATGCAAAAAAATAAAATAACTATCAAATCACCGTCATTAACATATCCAACTGCTAATTTTGTATAGGATTTCTTAAGAATTAGAATGGATATTGAATGGTCAGACATTCAGACTGTCTGCATATTTATGTGAAAGAATAGACAGTAATTTCTAACCACAGACTAGAGATTGCTCAATCTGGCCATGAATATATTTGCTAAGCATATAAACAAATCATTCTGGGGCCATTGTTTAGTTGAATTGCTGGCAAAACAGGGGGTGACGAGTTCTATGTTTTGGGGAATGCAACAAGGGGGATTTGTACTTAACAATGAACCTGAATTTGAAGGTTAGTTGAGATTGACCATCCTTTCAATCTTTGTTTACTTTACTCAATGTAATAAAATTATTCTTCGTTGCTGAGTTTCTATACTTTTAAGATTAAGTTTACACTTACGAAAATCATGGACAATTATCACGGAAATACGGTTGCTAGTTGCTATGGAACCTAGTGAGCTACCCTAGGATAATTTTTACTTAAAAAAAAATTCACCTAGGCAACTGCAGATCAAGATACCAGAACAGAATTAATAAGCAATATTTCAGATTTGGGTGGGGGTTGTTAAATGATCCATAATACAACCTAGGCAGTTCAACAATTTGAGATGCAACCTAGCAGATGTGCACACATATTGAATGGGACCAACTTCAGAGATTGGATGGGCTAATAATCAGCCAATCCAAGGATTGTCAACCTGTAATTATATACATATTATTTTTGAAACAGAATAGGAAACAATATACATATTATTGGGTTCATTTGTCTGGTGGGAAAGAGCTCTACTGCAACTTAAGGGATACCTGGAAATGCATAGGTTGATTATAATATATGCAGTCTCCTATGAAACTATGGGACGCATGGTGTATCAGGGTCCCAAACCATCTACAAGTCTTAGAACATATCAGCTGATAAAGTTAGAAACGAATAAACACAATGAAGGGAACCAAAAGTTTGGTTTACTCTCCTTGCTGAGAGTAAAAACAAAATGAAGAGGAACCAATACAACCGCAAGAGAACACCTAGTGAACCGGATGTTTGAGAAATTTACATCGAAGAGTTGATCGGCTTCCTTATAGTATTGCCACGAGAGGTTGCGCATCTTGCCCGCAAATCGAGCATTCTTCGTGCCTGCACCCATAAGAACCAAGGATATTATGGCCACCTCCACAACTGGCAAACCATATATTCCAAAAATGTTAAAATTTAGGGATGTAGACATTCTACAACAAACACATACCCGTGCCGCTTCCGAATCTGTATCACTTCCGAGCCTTCTTTCCACGCCCACGCCATTCACCTGCCAAGAATGTCTAATTAGAAATAGCTGGAGAAGGAAAGGTTTAAGAGTGTATACAGAAGAAATGGG